GGCCACAGAAGACAGTAGATGTTAAAATGTTCAGCAATACTAAAGAGAAAAATAAATAAATCCCATCTGGGGAGTTAAAGAAAGCCTGAACACTTTGCCAAGCTTGGAGAAGTGTGTTTGTGAGAGTAGCCACAGCCTTCTGAGCTGCACAAAATATTGCTGGCCGTATCTGTGTGCCTGTGACACATAAGCAGCACTCACCATTTTGTAAATATGCTGGCTCCACAGTTCTGGGCCAGCTGTAGCAGAATTCAATGCTCATTTTGAGATGTGTAAGCATCCAGCTAGCCAGCAGAGATGTAGGGCAGCAGCTTGGAGCATCTCCATCATACCTGGCCAAAAGGATAAGAACTGTGACTAAGAATCAACGCAGTAGCCTGTAATTAGTAATATTGTCACTGGTAATAATGAGAAACAACAAAGAACAGGAAATGAGCACTTCTATGGAGTCTGTCAGTGGGGTCTGCAATACGCGCAGGTTTTGTCTTGTGCTTCTTCAACTCTGTAACCACTGGCTTAGTAGTGATTAGAAACTGCAGATTTCTGTTGTAAATGAGTAAGTCTCCTGTAAGGAAATAACTAAGGCAGGCTGATCCACTTTCAACAGCATATTAGAAAGCCTGTGATGAATTTGAAGAAAATATAATTTTGACTGGATACAACAGTTAACGGAAAGAGACTGAGGAAAAAGAGTCACAGAGGTCATCAGAGCATTTTGCTTTGTTCTCAGTGTGATTGAGGAACTGCATCAAACAAGAACCTCCTGCTTCTAGATCAAAACTAGGCCTAATCCTTTAATTTCAGCAGGTTTTAACACAATTTTTACTACTTTCACTTGTCATGTTACTATTGTGAATTAGTAATCACAGTAAATAACTTTATAGGAGGGTACAGAATGAGAAAAGTCTCAGGGAGGTACAGTGTGATCCATCCTTGTATGATTCTGCAAAACCTTCCCCGGCTGAACCTCAGTCCTCCTGCCACCCACCCAAAGAAAGACATTCCTGTCTCCTATTGCCCAGCATAAGAGCGTTTCCTTGGGTGAGTGGTGGTCTGGCAGCTTAGAGCAGTGGGCTGTACACGTTAATTTCTTCTTTCTCTGCTTCTCAACAGTGTTCACAACTGAGAATCAGGAAGTTATATGTAGAGCAGTTCTGCCCTGCAAAATGCAGCTGAAATGGAAAAGTAATTCTCCCTCACTTATGAGTACTTTTCAGTCCCACAGCAATTGTTTCAGCAGATTTTATTTGAAGAAAATAAGTAGCAGTTAGGTGAACAGGAGAGACCAATTTGCTCTATCCTGACTTTTATCCAAAGAGTTGGTTGAGAGGTGTTATAGGAGTGTTTTAATCCGTCAAAAACGCGATGACTTAATAAGTAATTACTACCCTGAATGAGTACCATCACTGGCCCTCCTTAAGAGAACATTTCTGTGTTTGTCTTGAAGCCTGGCCACGTGACAGATCTGCACACCGTTCCTAATTAATGTCAAGTCTAAGAGCTCCCCATCATGCAGCTCGTGTCTACAAACCTCTCCTGGAAGCAATTTTCCCAGCTTGCAAAGAGCAAATCACCTTTCCCCCTGTCTCAGGGGATATTTGCCAAATAAGGGGAAAATAAACACATGTAACACACGATAAAGAATTAATTAGATGATATCCTCTCAGTGCTTTGTAGATGCAGAGTGTCATCTACTTTAAGTGCTAAACATTACATTGAATTAAATGGCAGGGCAGGTGAGACTCCTGCGCTGGAACGGGGCAAATGACTGCAGAAAACTAATGGCACAACCTGCTTCTATCTCAGTGTGCTCTGGGGAAAAGGAGATTATTCTGTTTAGATGATCTGGTCCCAGAGCCTAAGCATTCAATTCAGCTCCCACTTACAGCAATAGAAGAATCATCATGACTTGGTTGAAAGCAGGTTCAGATTCTAAACACTGGCATGAAGCAGCAGTATGTGAGATATGTTACTCGAGTTAAGAGAGGCCTCAGATCACTTCCTGAGGGTGGGCTCTCAGTGCAAAGGGAGGTGAGCAGTTTCCTTGCAGGTCCCTGCAGGGAGCCCTGCCTCTGGCAGCTCCAGCAGGTGGTTGCTTCCCTTGCCATGCAGAAGTATTTAATAGTTTATTGGATTCAACCAGTAGGGATGTTAATCACTCGCATACTCCATTTGCAGTCAGAGACTAAAGCTAGTAAGTAACCAAATCTGATAAAAGAAATAATTATGGCAGATTATGATGTAGTTAATTTAAACGCACAGAAGAAATTCTTGTTCCAGAGTTACCTGCAATTACTTTTTCTCTTTAAGTTGAAGTTACAAGTTCTTCAAGATTCCTCATACATCACACATATACAGAGTGAACATAGGTAGTTGCAACACTTCAGCATATCTCTCTGGAAGCCAGAGCAAGAGGCATTCTGCTTAAATGCATTTAACTGGCTCAGGAAATTCCCCTTTGCTTTGTACTCCCAGTCTTTGATTTTTCTCTTGCTAATTGTGTTACGAATTATTCTTAGTGTGCAATTTGTGACAGGTACAAAGGATCCATACGTTTTAATTTTGGAATAATTTCTGTTCAGTTTAACCTTTCTCCCACATTCTATTTCTAATGCAGAGTCGAGTCTTCTCCTGACCAAAGTTTGCTCTCTAGAGACTGTGACACAGAATCAGATGCATCTCTGCAGTCCTATATGACATCACTTACGAGCAGACGGCATATCCTATTTCCTCACGTGTAGATACCACACGCAAGCTTACGAGCTGAGGCTTGACTAGTTTGACACAGCGATCTGAGAGCACTGCCAGCAGCTGTTAGGAAGCCAACGTGGCATTCCCAAGGCAGCTAGGGCTGCACAGAGATGCTTGGCTCAGACCTCTCTCAGCACTGCTCTCTAACTTTTTCTCCCTGTTTTGGAACTCAGAACAGCAAACAAACAAACAAACAAACCATGTCAAATCTTTTCTCTCTTCCAGTCTCTCCAGAAACACGGATACACAAAGAGACGAGCAGAGGATACATAACCTGCTCCAAGCACCCTGTCATCTAGCAGCAATTGTATCAGGGCAAAACTGTTAGCTTAATTTGACAAGTGAGTTAACATGACCACACCTTGTGTGATCAATAGACACACTGCACTGTTGGAATGTTCCCTACTAGTCACCTATTACAGCAGCAATCACCCTTTACTCAACACACACATACTTTCAAGTGAGTGAATATGATTTGCCTGCAATACCTACTGAGGAAAAGAAATAATTATACCAAGACTTTAACAAGAATCTTACTACAATCAAATCAAACTCAGAAAAATATTTCAGTCCAGAAATAGTAGGTTACCTCTGCACACACATAGGAGTAGACCAGGAGACCATGGGAGCCAGTGCATTTCCTCAAGTAAGAATGTTAAGGGCCAAAGGCAAGCCTAAGGAAGGCATAATTAGTTAGTTAATTATTTACCTGGGGACAGCTGCAGTGGAAAGCATCAAGATGGAAATGTTTGTTTGAGCATGGCTGGTAAATGGTGGGTGCTGGGCATCCTTTGCTTTCATGTTTGGGAGAGATATCCCCTCCTTCCCACCATTCTATTGCCTTTTAATGAAAGTTGGGTAGCCAGAGGTCTTATTCTGCTAGATGAGGTACTGTTCTCATACACAGAAAAAAAGTCTGGGGTAAGTTTAATATTGTGTGCTGAAGGTATTATATGTATCAGGAATGAACAATAAAGGCTCTGAGGGAGCACTGAAGTGTACTGCAGGTGTAGTACAAGAAAAGCCAAGCAGAAGGATGCTTTGCTTCAGGTTATTTTAAAGGAGGCAGTGCAAACTACAAAGAAACAGTTTGCATCTCTTCCTTCTGCCAAAGACAGAACATTAAACCCATAATCAGTGCAAATTGGTATTCAGAGCAGCTGGGTCTGGCTACCAGTGCGGAGCAAGAGGGGCACAGCTCACAGGTGCTGCACAGGCTGCTCACTGAAGACAAGCATGCAGTCACTACCATGGGGGAAACTGACTGTGAACAACTCCAGAATCTCAAGCACCTTTGTCTTTCAGGACTGTCCATCCTAATTTCTAACACTGGCTCTTATCAGAACTCAAGGGGCCACTAATAGAATTACAAACAGCAAACAAATTGCTGAAAAGAGCAAAGAGAAACTCCCCTGTTTACCTCAGGCTCATCCACAGCCTGGCAGCTGGATCCAGCTTGGTCTGCTTCCTGGTGCTTTCTAAGAGCAGATAGACAATGTAGAGTGAATGACACTTAACTTCACACCAAATGGAGGATTTACACCCACTCACTGGAATTATATGCCTTTCTAGAAAAGCACACCTGGTGTGATTAAAAAGGCTATCTTCCAGCAATGAAATTCAGAGAATTTTTGTGCCTAGCAAAGATTTAGGTACAAATCTATTGCAGAGTGCATGAAGAGAGCTTAGGGAGCTGTTTGTCATAGTGAAAATGATTGTCAGGCCGTGGAGGAAATACAAACATTTTACTTGCTTCAGCTGATTTAGATGCTTGAGTTGCTGTCAGATTAGCAGAGAAGCTCAGTGGGGGGTACTGGGGAGCCGATCTTGGTTGAGTGCAGGCAGGGAGCAAACGCCCAGTGAGGCTCCTGATTCTCTGAATGACTCCTGGCAAACATAAACAGCACAGCCTGCTTTGCCTCATTCACATCCCAAGCACAGCCGGGTTCTTGGTGTGAGATTGTTTCCAAGCTTAATACCTGAGCTAGGTGAGCCTTTTCCTTCGGAGCAGGAGACGCCAGCCTGTACATGTTGTCTCACCAGGCCAGGAGGGCAGCAGCGCTGCCAGGTCCTCCAGCCCAAGGATGGCTGTAAGGGCGGCTGCGGGTTCCAGCCATGGCAGCACCCTGCCTTCCCCACAGCTCCTTCCCGCCACCCCTGAGGATCACCGCTGCCCTGAGTCAGCGCAGCCGCATGAGGAGGCGGTTGACGCCTTCCTGCCCATCACCGCGTGCCAGGCGGCACTGCGCACACCCTGCAGGATCCTCCCCTGAGGCAGGTGAGCACTGGGACGGGCGTGACTTTTCTCAGAGCACAACTTGAGTTCTTTCAGCTTCTGCTGAGTTCACTTCCTTTCCTCAGAGCAGCCCAGAAGCCGAGCAGAGCCGAGCACGAGGAGAAGCACGCGCCAGGTACGTTCAAACTGCACCATGAACGCGTCAGGAAGCGCAGCCATGGCCAGCAGCCCACAACCAGCAGCCCTGCTCAGCAGGTGCCATGTCTGGGCTTGCCACGAGAGCTGGGCAAGAAGGACGTGCTGTTGCATGAGGCTCCAGTTCCTATGACTGGCGCTGTGTGCCAGTCTGAGAGCCCTGCTGCTCCTCTGTCGTGTTGCAACTGTAGGTGTGGACAGGAAGGCAGGCGGGTGACCTGCATCGTTGTCTCACTGGTGGCATTGACAGGAATAGCTTCAAACAGAGGGGCTGGCGGGTTTTTTCTCACTGAAGGAAACCACCAGCTACCACCACTGCCACCGCCTGCCAGGAGAGCTTCCTGAGGAGCAGTCAGGGCCAGCCTGAGGCGTGCAGTTGTGCTTCATGCTTTTTGCTCAGAGCTGTGGGTGCCCCATCCCTGGAGGAGCCCAAGGCCAGGAGGATGGGTGGGGTTGGTGGGCTGTGATCCTACATAATAGAATCTAAATAGAATCTTTCTGAATAACTGCACATCTGATGCCGCACACAGCGTTAAGGTGCTATGAGGAGCTCACTGCAGTGAGGTCTGGCTGCTGCTGAGGAGAGCAAGATGAGGTCTGTGGTTTGTGTCAGTCCCAGTGAGCTCGTGGCTGGGCTGAAAAGCCAGCGTCATCCTTCTTTTGTTAGGAGGTATAATCAACTAAATCACTTTTAAAACATGCAACAATTAAGTGCCAGCACTTATCCTTTGTTTAGATCTGATTTTCTTTCCAGAAGTGCCACAGGGGAATTAATTGTGCATAATCTAACCAAAGCAAGGTGCCTGACTTCCTTACTCACAGTAGTGTGGCAGCTGGCTGGCTCTACGCTGCTGCAGGCACTGAATGGAGCTCGGCTGCTCTGCAGCACTGGGCCCAGCGCACAGCCCAGCGTCCTGGTGCTGCCTGCTGGGCAGCTGAGCAGTTAGGTCAGTTGGGTCAGCAAGCAAATGGTTCTAAGGTCCATCAGTCTGACAGCAAAGGAGGCTTCCAGCGATGTGTCTGCTCTTCCCCCACTTGCAGAAGGGTGGATCTGAGCCCATCTTCACTCCATGGATCTCTATACATATGATGTGCAAATAGTAACTCAGAACAGCAATGCTCAAGTTTGAAGTAACTTTGTTCCTTTTGGACTGGGTTTTCAGCCCTGCTGCCCACGAACAAGTCTGATGGATTTAACTTATAAAAACAAACACTGTTGGAGCATTTAGGCTGTGCGAATAGGAAGGCAAAAAGATGCTGAAAACCACTGCTGGATATATATAACTGCACAGAAATGACGTTCCTCACCGTGTGCTGAAAACGGGTTTGTCCAGGGTGTGGTGTACTGGTTCCTGTATTTCAGCATCAGTGGTTGCTTAACAGGGCAGTGAGGACAGATGAGCTTCCTGCATTCCCTATCGGCTGCTCACAGCCACCACGGACTGTCACACAGCACTGCTGCCACAGCTCAGGCAGCAAAGGCTGAAAGACAGCAAGCTTTGTAGGAGAGGTAGTAACTTTTATTGAAGTAGTGGATGGATTCAAAGCTTGTTTGTCCAAAAACATGCTGGTTCTTCTGGGTGTATCAGGTTGTTTAATAAAATGTATTAATCTGCCCATGTGAGTGCTGTCTTGCATAGACTTATCATTAACAATAATTTCAGAGTGTTGTTAGAATATGAAATGTTTGTTTTCTCACAATACACCTGGCAGGTAGGGACCAGTTTTTGGGCTTAGCCTTTAGAAGTGATTGAGAGGTTAAGTAATTTCCTCATAGTCAAACTGCAAACCAATGGCAAAACAGTTTTAAACTAAGAACATCTTCACTCAAGGAACATTTGCAGTCTAGAAAAGGAGAAAGCCCTCAGAGACACCAAGGTACCAAAATCAGAAGACCCTGACTTTGGTTCTAAAGAGGGGAAAGGTTTCATTTTACTTTGGAATCTGACTTTCTGTAGGAGCTGAGACACTAAAACACTGTTCTGTTACCAAAGATGAGATGTTTGTGTGTATGCAGTATGTCATCCTGCAGATACTAACTGAACCTGGTGCAGATCTTGGAATATTTTGGGGTTGGAGCTAGATGATCTTAAAGGTCCCTTCCAACCCAAGCCATTCTATGATTTTATGATTTCTATGGCTGGTGGTTGTCATTGAAACTGCCTATGGAAAAGCACCACTTGTCCATCTGCAAAATTTGAAGGAAGAACTTATTTTTAAGGTGCTTGACTAAAAGTCCATTGCTGAAAGGATCCAAAATCTATGTCGTAAGAAAGTGCTTGGGTGTCTAAGTTATGTTTTCTTATTGTGCCTTGCACAGGAGAAACTGTGTTTTAGAGCCTCAAAAAGTCATCTTCTGCATCACTCAGTATAACAGCTTTATAGGAAGTGCTTCACAAGGGGGTGGTGTGAATGCAAGATGCCTGGACCACGGGAGGTGGAGGCAGCCATGTTCAGAACCCCAAGCACGACAAAAGATGCTTTGTCAGAGTAAAACTGCCTCAGTAAGTAAATAAAGAAATGTATTAGGTGAGTTTAGCAAACCAAAAGGAAACACTGCACTTTGGGGATGTCAGAATTTCGTTTCCATGTTATTGGATAACAGCAAGAAACTTTCTGGGATTGAAATTTCAAAGTTTTCAATTCCTAAACGTAAACTTGTGGAAGCATCCTTTTGATGACAACTGGGAAGAAGAGAATGAAATGTCAAAGGCTTCTCTCAGATGTGATTTCCAAATCTTGCTGGGCTCCCATCTGAACTACTTCTACTATTTTCCTTGATAGGTATATTTTAAATGTAAGGATGCTGAAGGTAACAAATAATTGTTCTGTTTTGTGAATGCAACTGTGCCTATTAAGTTACTCACATCTGTGGATGATCAAGTCAGACTTCTTTTGGTTTTACTCATGATGATGAGACTTTTGTTCTTTCCTAACTGAAGGCAGCCCAGCCAGACTCACTTGGAGGAGCAGAGAATGGGTCCGGAAGGGCAAATGAACCATGATATGAAACTGCCATTGCAACAGAGACATGATTTCTAAACTGAAGTGCTTAGAGATAGATGCCATGTCTGCAGGAGAGCAGGAGTAAGGCAGAAGAATAGAGGTCAGACTGATCTTCTAAACAATACCTGCTTTTTTTTCTCCTTTCAAACAGAAATGGAGAACCTCAGTATCCCACTCCCAGATCTCAGCAAAGAACAACAAGGTAGGGATAATACACAAAGGTCAGAGCTTCTACTCATTCACACTACACAACAGTTTTTCCTGGACTGACCATGAGTCAGTGAGACTTGTTTCCTCTGAAAACACACTCCATCCACATTCCTGCTTATAAACAGACCAGTGGTCAGTTCTCTGCTCTTCCACAGGTTTCTCATCTGGCCTTTGCACATCCTTGTATGTATGGTTTTTTTTCCATGCACTAAACGCCTAACAATTTACAGAAAGCAGTAGGTTTTAGTTGGAATCTCGCTCTTTACGTCTTTATAGCATGATCAGAATAAGTGCCTGCTCAATATTTAGAAATACTTCCCTTGCTGCTTTTCCTGAAATTGTAGCATCATAAAGACACCCTTAGTGTGGACTATCAGCCTTTTTGCCCTCTGTTTCTGGTGGATTGAGTTGCTTTATGCTATGCAACACTGCTCTTTTTCCTATAAGCCAAAACGCTGCAGTCTGATGTCTATCACCACACCCACACTGAGCACAACAGGAAAACTCTCACGCAACCCACCTCTACTTCAGTGCAGTGATTGACTTGTTTTTCCTCCCAGACATTTTCCAGAGGGCTTTTACTGCTGATGACAATTACTTGGAGAATCACGAGAAAATGCACCAGTCCTTCTGGGAATCACTGGTAAAAAGCTTAGCCACCACTGATCCACCTATCCTGGCCGCTGAAGAGAAGAACAGTGTAAGTTGCTAAAGAAACCTTAACAAAAAAAAGGATTCTCGTGTCATTCTCCAGGCACTTTAGTACTTCTCTGATATATTTTTGGAAGAGAGACCATACAGCCTGGTTATCTGTTATATTTTTAGACATTCTTCTGTAAGATATCACAAGGAGTGCGTGCCCATTTCAGGCCTTATGCTGTATTTCTCCAGTTCTTCAGTCATCTATTGCACACCATGCTTCTTTCCCCACTGATGCTCTGCTTTAAGTTGCTGAATAGAGTTTACATTTTCTTCACACTTTTGGTGTTGCTTTTTGTCCCTGATTTTTCCCCTTGCATAGCAGGAGCTATGGATCACGTTCCTAACAGTGAGACTCATTCACTTCTATTTCATCATCTGTTCCCACACACTGTGTTTTATTGGAAGGACTATTTGCTATCTATTCATCTTTCAGCTCCTCAACAGGTGCAGCGTCCTGCCTGGGGGCTGTGCAGCCTGCCTGAAAGCCATAGAGATGAAAGGCGTCAGGGCAATGGCAGTCCTTTACCTCTTGCTGAAGAGTTCCAACCCATCTGTGTATCAGCAGCTGCCCAGTTCCAAAGGAAAGGGTGAGTCCTACCTGGTATCACTTCATCTGTTCTGTTAAATTTTAGTCTGTGTTAATTTCAGGGGAGAAAAAAAAACCCCAAACTCTTGTTCACTTAGGTGTAGAGGATGATGCCCAGGAACTTCTGAGACTTAGAGCAATCCCACATTTTTTTTCTTAACTGAGCTAATGACAGCCAGGACATTGCTTTGCATGGACCATTCCCCAGCCAGTTTGGACCTCTCTGAGCTGCCATAGTAAGAAATCAGGGTCAAGCTCTGTAAATGCCTCTGAAAATGTCTCTAGTAGGATGTGCAGCACAGCACTAACCAAAACCAGCAGGCAGAAGATGCAATTCAGGTTGCTGAGCCTGGCAACAAGAGCCAGGTTCCACTACACTTCCCACTTGCCATGTTGTGTGATAAACAATTCCATGGAGTCCACAGAGTTGCTGTCTTTAATACAGCATGAAGGTGCACTCACTTAAGGTGACCCTGAATTTAACTGGACACCTTCAAGGAGGTGCCCTCTTCTTCAGGATGGAACACATTCACAAAGGGCAGACATCCCATAGCCCGAAAAGCAGCCCTTCTTGGGGCATTTGTCACAGCAGGTCTGCTTGTGCTGACAGGGACCCAATTCCCAATTCTAATACAGTGAGCTGCGCTGGCAATTGAGGGAAGTGGGGGAAATTGTGTCTCTGGCTACGTCCAAATATTACAACTAACAATGAAGAGATGCACAGACCTGCCAGGGCTCAGCACAGAACTGAAGTTAGAGCTGCTAAGAAACACCTGTAACTCCAGCCACAGAAGCCAGGAGCACCGCACTGCCCAGGACTCAGCAGCCTACACAGTTTTTGGTTTAGCTGACATTGAGAGTTCTGCTTTTATGCCACGAGAGGGTGCTGGCACTGCAGCACAGCCACAGGAGCCCGGCAGAAATCGGAGCGCTGGAGGGAGGAGTAGCCCAGGAGCATGAAAGCAGCTGTTCTCCATCTAAATCACCTTTCAGCTGCAGATGCTGCTGCTCCAGGCAGCGGGAAAAGTCACAGGGGTAACATTATGGGTAAATTAAAGGCAAGAATATGAGACCTAAGCATCTACTGCAACCATTTAAGTCAGTTAAACAGTGGTGTGAAGCTTCTATTGTAATGCTCCGTACTGCTGCTGGACTACAGATAGCACAGCTGAAAGGCTCTCTCTGATTTCTTGTCAAGCCTTAAATACAACATTATGAAACACTGTTAATATATCACTATAAATAAAACAAAAAATTTTCCATTTTTGTTTTGTCTGTATATCATAACAGATGAAAAATTAAAACTCCTCAAGAGATTGGAAAGAAATCTCATGCTTTCACAAGAGGATAAAAAGGCTGAAAACTCCTCCCAGGAATCCACAGATGAAGATACACGCGGTAAAAAAGATCGTTTTGTTTTCCCCTGGCACATAACTTAGTCTGATTACGTGTTCTAAGGAGACTGACACCAGAGACTTGCAACAATTCAGTAGCCATCTGGTACAACCCCGAAGAAATAAACTGTGCAAAAGACACAGAAAATAATCACTATCTCTAGATTTATTTATTGTTAAGAAAATAATGGTTGCTTCCTGTTGTTGGGAAATTGGAGGACCAAGAAGTGCTGAAAGCTGCTGCAAATTTCCTCTGTGAACACAGGACCATGTTTTTTGTGATGTTTATGGTCGAGCTGAAGTGCTACAGCAGGAGGCAGATAGTCAATGACAATGTTGCAGTACTTCCTAGCAATCATCAGTGGTGTATCAAAGGTCACTTGGGTTGCCCTCAAGCCATTTCCCTTCATGGAAAACCAGAGAGGCTAAAAGATGACAGGCGACATGGAAATGAGATTTTGCTGGCATTGGCTTATTCTGTCACAAAAAGCCATTCACTAATTACCATTAATTGTGTTCAGAAACAAAATTTTAAAACCAGTTAGCAGTGCTGATGATATATTTGTGTCCTAAATAAGACGTCTTCCTAACACTCCTTTATATGATCTATTCCATCATCTTTTGGTGTTTGATTTTACTGTTTTTCTTCAATTCAGCTAGATTTAAAGAGAGCAGTGAGGCAAAAGCAGCCAATAATAATGTTTGCACTACCAAATCCTCATTTTTATTTAAATATCCCATGACCATTATTATATTGTGAGCAAAAAGCTATACCACTACTGTTTCTGGTATTGCTAGTACGCTTTTCTTGCTTACTATCTCCACAATAATCCATCTTCCTTGAACTGTTCACAGTTTCTTAAACTCAGACACTTTTTTTCCTGTTCTGCTTTGGATGCAACACAAATTGGTGGCAATCTCTACATCAGAGTTGTGTCTTATACCAAGTGCTCTTATCACAGCAGGTTGTTTCCTCGCCTTCTCTATGGAACCTGCTTCAGCAGGGGGTTGGACTAGGTGATCCTAAGGGGTCCCTTCCAACCCCTAATGACTGTGTGTGTGACTTTAATTTAATCATTTTATCTATCCAGACAGCGATGAAGAAGATTTAGGAAGACACAAGACTGAAGGCCACCTGCTTGGAGGTGGGACAAAGTGTCAACACTGTTACTTTTTTTTTTTTTTTTTTTTTTTTTTTAAGAGAAAACAAGTATAAAATAGAAAACAAATAGTTTCTGAAATTCTTTGGTTTGACTTCAGAACAGTGGTAGATTAACACTCTACAAGCAGCATTAGATGTAGGAAAGGCATTTCTTGCAAGATGAAACTAATAGTAATGCTTAGCCATGGCCCGTGGTTAGAACTGAACTATGAGAACAACAAAGTCTAGCACTGTGGGAGAACTACTGCTGCCTGGGTCTGCACAGTCACCAATGAAACACAGCAAAAGAGTTTTGAAAGCATCTATCACAGCCACTACTTACAGGGTTTGCTTTCCACTCTCTACACAGACCAGAGATCATCAGCGAGGACCACTCTTTGAATCTTGGTCCTGAGGCTCTTCCATTCTTTCCAAAAGATAAACTGGAAAAGAAGTGCAGTGCAGAAAAGATGTTGTGTCAACACAGCCATCAGCTACTGGTATAGAATCACTGATTTAAAAAAAAAATAAAAAAATAAAAAAATTCAGGCCTTTAATCATTTAATATGCATCTCAAATTGATTCCACCCCAGATATAAAAGTAGTTCATTTAAACTAACAGCAGGTTTAATTCATCTCACACGAATCTGATTCTGCCTGACTCCAGCTATTGCTTGATAAGAAATGTGTGGTGTCAATACTCCGTTCACATCTCCTTTAGATCTGCATAACCCACCACAACAGACCTCCTTCTGAAGAGCAGGAGTTGGTATCCACCAGCTCACACTGACACAAGCACGCTTATTTCAGCACAGTGGCTTGGGTTAGGGTTGGCAGCAAAATATGCATGTTTATTGTAGACATTAACCTGCATCCTCTGTCCATAATATTTCAGGTATACCAGCTGAGGTTGTTCCCTACGGAGATTCAGGTAGGTGTTCCCAGATAAGAACCTCATCCTGCAGGAAGGACGACTTTGTTAACATAGTTCCTTCTTTTTGATTTTTTTAAAATATAGAATAACTACCTGACTGTAAATCCATTATGTTCCCATTGGTGTGGTGTTGGCCCTGGGCAAAATTACCCATTTTTTGGTAGCACTGCCAGAGACGAGGATCAGCTCACAGCAGTTGCAATCCTTTCTAGTAGAAATTCGAGCAACACTACTGGGCAACCTGGAAACCTGGTTTCTGCCAGCTGGTGATACTGAGTTCTGAATGCCTAACTCACTTAGCTCAGAGCATTCTCCAAAACAAGATGCTAGCTGAAAGCCAAATGATAGGCAACAGAAACAGTCCCACTGAGAGCTTGACCAGGTGGTTGCACTCTGAAGGCATATTTCCTTTTGTAAGGGACTGTAAGCAGCAGCAGAACTGATGTAAGACGACCACGATAGAAAATTTTCAATGGCTTGATCACATTATCAACATCATCCATCTCAATCCCAGGTCAATTCCATACTGATTAGTGCAAAAAGAAGGCTGGCCCTTCTGAGAGGACAGCTGTTCGACTAGTTCTTTTCTGCAAAGTGGGGAAGAGTTGCTGTAACTCAGACTCTTTCAGCTAAGGAAAGAGAGTGTAAATGGCAGAAAAATCCTTAGGGGAGAATTCCGAGTTGCCCATCAGCGAGGAGAACATAGAACACAGGAGCAGAGGAGTGTGTGTACCGCAGTTCAACATTTTCCCCACATTGCCAGGTGCAGAAAGGAACGCAGCAATTCTCCAGTTGGCTTTTGTCCCCGCTGCGTCACCTCTCACTGCAGCCTTTGTTACTTCAGCGCTAGATTAGTTCAGTACACTAGACCAAGCCATTGAAAATATTTAGCTAGTACTGGACACCCTGTCTACTGCATTTGAAAGGCTCATGTGATCTGTGGACACAGCTCATTTCTGACTCAGGCCGGTTCCAACTTCAGTTCTAGCAACCAAATATTAACAGGGAAGTCATCAATCATCTACTGCCCAGCTATTCCAGCTACCTGGGACCACTGCAAATAAGCGTTTTCCATTATCTTACCTTGAGGTTCTGATTTCATCAAATTTGTGGCAGTTTCTAGTGCTATTTTACTGAGTCCTAGACCAGAATATTCATCCAGCTTGACAGTACCGCTGTGTTTTTATCACAGAAATAATACAACTATGTTGCTTTTCAGAAATAACCAGAAGAGAAGATTCAACTGCAGATGGTAAATACTAACAAGCAAAACAAGTTTTTCTTGTGAATGTGGTCTTTCAGCATTCAGTTTTACTTAGCAGTGATAGCTATACCAGCTCCTAGGTACTTAGGTATTTTATAAGTAAAAAGTAGAAGCTTTAAGAACAACTACTAAAATGTGTTATAGTGCTTTGATAGGAGAAATACTGTGCAGTTACCATGGTACTATTGCATCCAGGAGGCAGAGTAACACAACAGACACATAACAGGTGTGAACATTAATTCACACAAGTTCTGTCACTACAAATCTTCACATAGACAACCATGCAGAGGAACATCTGTGAGTTAAAGTAGTGCCATGCTATGTTAACATTAATCATTATACTTGAAACTTTAAAAATACCAAGCTTGTTCTTACGTTCTTCTTCCTCTGTATTGACATAATTAGATACCCATAAGAGTAATTGCCAGCTACAACAGTTCTTAATTTGGGAAGTGCAGAAATACTGTAATATTAGGCCAAAGTAGATAGACTGATAATACTCATGTATTGATAATAACGAAGATTGTTATACTGTTGTTTAAGTGACATCACAAATCAAACTGAAGCTCCCTTGTACCTTTGCTTTAGTTGCCCACTGTAATTCTGAGACCATGATTGCCCCAGACTTAACAGAAAAGACCTGGAGTTCTTTAAAAGCAATTTGGAATTATTAATTGAATAATGCTGTTTTTACAATTGCTACAGACCATTTGGAAAGTAGTTTGGGGAGCAATTTTAAAACTGCTAATTTGACCTCCCTGAAAAATTTGCAGCTTTTTCCTCTGAAGTTTTTCTTTTTTTTAATATATTCTGCTCTCAGATTCTTATCTACAGAAAGGGAAAGAAACTTAAAATGCCTGAATTTCACAGTTACATTGCAATAAAAGACCTCTCTTTCTCACAGCATATGGGAACAAGAACATTCACCCTCAATGGTGGACAGTACGGTGGATGGGCATACGCAAGGATGGTAATTCTTTTTTTAATTCAGCTGACATCAATCCCATTGAACAGTAGACCAAGAATAATTTTCCTAGCTCAAAAAACTTCTCAACTTGAGTAGTTTGTTGAAGGTCATTGGGCCTTCTTGACGAAGGCCATTAAAGCTTCTCACATGACAAGCTGTGTTTGTGATGTTGAGCTTACTGTATGAGACATCCCTCATGGAAGTACACTTTATTCACTGACTGATACACTAGAACCTCATGTGTACTCCTAAGGGAACAGTGCCAGCAGTTGTGACCTAATTTCCCCTCTCTATTTCAGATGAATTCTTTCATTTTGTTATTCTTTGCTTCGCAATTGGAGCTTTACTAGTTTGCTACTACTACTACAAAGGTAAGGCAAGGCTTCAACAGAAGGTTAAATTGCTGCAGTCCAAAAAGTGCACAAAGCCAAACACCTATTTTGTTGTCTTAGATTGGACAATTTCTCTTGGAATTGGTTTAATCACCTTTGCTTCTCTGGAAACCACTGGGATTTATTTTGGTCTAGGTAAGTATCTACAACAGCCAGCTCTGTACCAACGCGATGGATACGAGGGCACGCAGTCACTGAACTACACAAGTCTAGAAAATGGCTACTGCTGAGATTCTTTAAATCGTCACCTAACCTGCCTGTCTCATTCACAATTACACAGTGTGGCTGAAAACAAACGTGCCTCTGTGACACCAAAGGCAGATGTGGTTCATGCTGGTCACAAGACCTTGAGTCACCTCTCTGGTAGCAAAGGCAGTATGCTGTGTTGCCATGACAACATGTCACTTTAGCAGGGAGGCAGTCTTTGCAGAATACTTCTTCAAGGGGCTGTGCACTTGAGCTGCCATTCATTCCCCCAGGACTGGGGTTGCTGAATACCCCAAGGATCAAATTCCAGCAGAACCTGGATGATGGCAGTTATTAGCTACCCCTAGGTATCTCAAAGGAAAGATGCAGACAGCAGCAAGGCATGGCTTTCAAACTGAGAACAGAAGCCTCTAAGTTTGTGCTACAGCTTTTGGTAGGTTGTGGATGGTTCAATGTGGAATTACACTTGTCAGTACTTTGCTATCAGTGATGTCACAGACAGTGACAAACAGTAATCTTAGGTTCCTTAATGGTACAACCGGCATTTGTTTGGCTTTAGCTGTTATTCAGTGTTTTGTGTTTTATGTTTATATCTGGCTTATCTTGGAAAAAAATGTGTTTTCACAATTAGTGTATCGACTTCGGAGCGTGCTGGATGGTTTTGTTCCTCTGATCGAGAAGTTCAGGCCAACAGGTAACTGATCTTCTTACTGCCTGCATTCCTAAGCCCCTAGACCTTCCTCGTTAGGAAATGAGTGAAACTATTTTGGTTAACTCTCAAGATCAATGTCTCAAAATTACAATGGCATCATTTCAATAAAAAAATAAAACATTACAGTCCACTATAGCTGCTGGATTTGGAAATTAATTATTCTTGACTCTCCACACGGCAGAGCATTTTCACATTTTTAATACTCCGCTCTGTTGGGGACTTCAACTATTCCCTGAAAATGTCTGAATTCAAGGTCTATAGCTCCATTTAAAATTGAGTGAAAGGGGGTGGTTTCTTTTTGCTGATTTTTTAAACAGGCTCCAGGCTCATGTCTAAGTTCATGAACACAAGAGCTGAGGAGCGCTGAGAAGTTGCAACAAGGGCTTACAGTCAATATGTGACACCTAATTTTAAACACAACAGTTTTGACAAGTCTTCTTTTTTCATCACCGTGCAGGTATGAGGAAAGCTGCCTAAGAGCATTTCAGAAGAATTCAACAAAACTCTCCTGTTTGGATTTACAGAATTAAAAGAACTGCTTTATCAGGCAGTCATAAAATCATAACAGCTAACACAAAACACTGAAACGTTGAACAATAGAAATATATTCAGTCCACTCAAAAATGAAGTTAAAACTGAAGAGATTTGTAACTCAGTTGAGCTCATAAAATTATTTAGATCCAAGTTTATATTTAATTCTGCTCAATATAAGCATTTTTTTCCTTCCCTCCCACGTTTATTCACATTAAGTCCAGCCGTGGTGTATGAAAATCAACACAAAGACCTGCACTATTTTCAGCTGGTTCTGGATGTTTCAGTAGGAATCTTGGCACCAGAAAGCCACCTCCTCTTTACCCTTCTGATGCTGCAAGTCAGGCAGACACCAGCTGCCTGCTTACACAGTTGAGCCCCAGCAGTGCAATAGCACTGAAGCAGATTAATTTATTGTGGCAGAACTTAATATAGTGGGCATATAATGATTTCTCCCAGTGAAAGCTGGGCAAGATTTTACATGCAGTGACATAATGGTGCATTAATGAGGTTGTTAACAGCAGCAAATTTCATCTCTTTGAAGAGGAGAGAAATAAAATGTTTGGTTTGACCCACCCTCTAACTTTTTTTTTTCTTCTGATAAAATAGCTTATGGGGACATCATGCATTGCATAAAATACACTATAATATTTCAATTATTCTCTTTAGTTTTTAATCAATTGTATACATATGTAGGACTAATATAAAGCAAAGCAAAATCAAGCAGTTTACCTTCACATTTTTAGTAAAAACATGAGGTCTTCATAACCATAGGGGAAGGCATCAAAATCAGACGGAATCATAAAACACGAAACTGTAAGAAAATGCAGATCTAAAAAGCCATCAGCCCTAACAGCCCAGCTTTAGTTCAGTGAAACATTTTCAAGCCTTGCTCAGAAAATTAAAAAGCCTACTTTTCAGGAGTGGTACTTAACTTTAAGCACCAATATCTATCATTCTTAAGTATTGCAGTTCCTTCTGCACACCCATAAATATAAACAATTGTGTGCAGGCCTGTACCAACACAGCACAGCAGTTACCCAACATGTCAGGGATTAAATTAAGCAATAAGGATAAATACAAGTTATTTTGTAATATTTATATTCTCATTTACATGTACATTATATTACATGTATGCATAGAAATACTTTCTCACATCAAATTACTGTTGTTTTCAGTCTGCAAATAAAGTCTTGTTGAGACCAGTGTAGGACTGTTCGTGTACAACAGTTTTTGAGTGAACTGAAAACTATGTATACTGCCATCCTGCTCTCATTATTTGAGTTTATTTTTCTTTTTGGATGTCTCTTGTGCTGTGGCATAGTCAGAATGAGAAACATTTCTTCATATGAAATATGATTTCAAATGTCCAAATGCAGTACTCAGCAGTCAAGAGAATGAAAACAACCAGAAGTGGAAAAACATTTTAAAATCACATAGTATAACTTATCGTGGGGGATGAACAACTACACCCAACACAGAGCAGATCACATGAGAAGAATTGCTTCTATGTAAAAAGTAACTTACCCATTCAGCTGTATCCTCCTGGGTACTCTAAGAATTTCCTGATGTTCTTTCAGATTCTTCTTCAGTCCCTCTCAGCATTTTAAACATTTCTGCCTCCTGACCAAAGACAACACTGCCATTCTGGTTTCATGCATCACCCCTGCTGCAGCAGTGCCAAGCATTCAAAAATATGATACAAGTTCCTACGAAGAGTTTCAAACTCCTTAAAAGAGCTTGAACTTGTGTCAGCCAGCATTCCCCAAGTCCAGCAAATCCTTCTTGAGCTCCCAGCTTATCAGTCCTTTCTAGAGCTCTGCTGAGCATTCACCTCCCTCTATTGGCTCCCCAGAACAGGTACATTTCCCTCTAGTATGCTCACATTACCCAGACTTCTTCCTTTTTCTCTTTTGTTTGTAATGGATGTGAGGCAATGCAGAAAACAGGAATCAAAGAATGCACTAGCCACTGTCTTCCTGCAATACACATTCTGCTTTTCATTATCCAACAAGTAACATTTCTGTCCAGATGAGTTTTGGCAGCAAGAATTCTGGTTTTTGCCCAGCTCCCTTCAAGACAAGGTTTTAAATATTCAACAGCAAATTCAAGTTAACATTAAAAATCTAGGCTTCTATGCCCATCATTCTAGGCTTCTACGCCCACTACCCAATTTCCTTGCTGAAGCTCAGCCCACTTAGAAATTCACTGAACACACAACCATTCCCACCCTAGAGCTTGCAGCAAGAGAAGTTAGCTGTAAAGTACAAAAAACTGCCTCTACAGTACGTACACAGCACTGCTGACAACCAATGGCCAAATAATCTGAAGGTTTCAGTGACTGAAAGCATTCAGATGTTACTGCAGTATAAAAACCCACAGAAGAAAAAGAAATACAGAAGGTTTAAGCTGGTATTTTTATTAGAACTCTACATAAAGCACCTTTGCCTGCCTTAAACTTTACAGTACTTCTCTGAACACTTTCTTTTTTCTCTGCAACACAACATAAGATGCTTCAAACTACTCTGCATTTCTTGATTTGGACACTGCCACCTTAACAGCTTGCACAATGGCATCTTTGTCAATACCAAACATCTTCAGCAGCTCAGCTGACTTCCCACTCCGTGGTACATGAGATACAGCCAAGCGACTGACTGTGACACCAGGCTCACCCACCACTGCAGCACACACCGCTTCTCCAATGCCACCTATGGAAAGAGATCAGACAGGACACAGATCTGTATGCTGTGACATGCAAAATATAGATTCCTTTATCAAAAGAGGAAAGTGAAAGACTTCAGGAGATGAAAGAGACCACTTTCTCCCCTTCTCCCTCCAATCCTCTCCCCTCCATTTATAGGCTCAGTGTTGTAATTGCTCTCTGAAAGACAGACTGGTATTTAGAGACCATCTGGAAAGGAGAAATAGGGCTAGGACATCTGTCAGTGAGTCAGAGAAGAAAATTCAATACTCTAACATGCATTTTCTTTTCTGCCCATTGTCAAGTAAATAAAATTTTAAAGGCTTTTAAAAATTTAAGTATGATCAGAAGATCTAAGCAAGTTAAATCTCCAGCTCACATGTTTATGAGAAACATCTGTTGGTATATATATTTATAGATAGATATAGATATATATCCATCCAAATCCCCCATTATGAAAAGAAAAACAATTCCACATTTTGAAGATGTTTTGAGGACAATCAGCCTAACATTTCTGAAGTTCTTACAAATGGATGGTAAGAAACATAATAACCTCTAGAGGGGCATAGAACTGGCAGGAAGCCCCCAGAAGTTCAGCATCAGCCAACTGAGGGCCAGTTTGAAAACATGTTTAGACTGAATATTTACAAGCATACTTAACACTCCGAAAATCTTAATTCCTCCCAGGCTCAACAGCATTTACACACTCCATCTTTCTATGATGCCCATACTGATGCCACCAGAGAGCTTTCTGAGTTGCGTTAATACATTCACAACTTCTGCTTAAAGTTCTGCTGAGACTGAATTACTGTCAGTCACAAGGACAATAGGTGCAACAGGAAACTGTGGCAGTAAGAGAGATGCTGGAAGCAGGAATACTAACAAAGAAAGCACAGGGCCAGTGTCAGCAGCATGTGCAGGAGAGACACCTTGATGCTGGTGTATCCAGGATTGCACAAAGCTTTTCCCAGCTCAGGACAAACTGTGATTTAAGCAGACAACTTTAACCTCTAGCCAGAGGCACCTACAGTTGCTAAAATCAGTCTGATGTGGATTTGCAATTTATTCAGGCTTGTGATGCGTGTACTCTTGACCTTTCTTGATTGCAGCATGCACAGAAAGCTCCATCAGTATAAATCACAGGTTCATCATCTCAGTGTGATGATGCTGCCATTTTGCAAGTATGCAGTAAAATATTTGTAGAGTTGGAAAACGAACTAAAAAATTATGAGGCTCTGTGACACTTCTACCATCCATAATCTGGTAATATCAGCTCACTTCAGGATAGCATTCTGCTAATATCTGTTAATAAATAATAAATGTTAGAAAATATCTACTAACACCAAAGTTCACAGATGCCTCTTCACTAATTTCTTCATCTCCTTCAATAGGAGCAAACCTGACGTTATCCACAGCAGCTGCTCACTGTTTACATATGGGCTCACCCTCACAAGGACATGTTAACACAAGCAAGCTCTTGAAAACCTCGCAAAAAGGCATGTCAGAGAGCAAGAGGCAGTAGAACAGCTGAGCAGATGATCAGCTCTAAACTAAGGTCCTGCAGAATCCTGCCAGAGATCACCAAAGGTCCTGGTGCAGAAGCTGGGGGATTTTATGGGCACTACTCTGCTTCTCTCAAGAAGCATTCTATCTGAAGATTTATTTGGGAATCATCTTAGTATGTATTTCTTGTATGTACACATACATACACGCTTCTTACTCTCAGGTTAAGAACACTATCAAATGCCAGCAACAGATTCTCAACTGGCCTATAAGCAGGTTATAATGAAGGAGTAAAAAGAAATCCAGTGAGGATATGTAATGATCTGGGGCTCTCCACAGGCTCTGATTTGTTCTTTTAGAAGAAAAAGACAACAGGAATGTGGAGAAGAAAGAAATTTATCCCAGAATGATTGCTGAAACTGTCAAACCTATCTATCTGATTTCAAGCAACCTGGAAATCAAGCTTTTGGACACAGTGAAAGCTCAAATGGTCTCCCTTGCAACCTGTAACATATTGCAGACCAGTTGCTGTAAAGCCTCACTGGGAACAAAGGAATCAAGACTCCACTTGCACCATGCATACAGAAGGGCACACAAAACTAAGTAAACCATAAATGCAATTCTGATTAACCTATTACCTCAGAAAACTTTCAGCCTTGTCAACTTACAATCATAACAGCAGTAAAAAAAAAAAATTCTAAAACCCACTTCTTGTTTTAATTGAAGCATCAGCATCAGATCTCATACTTCTCTCTTTTGATGCTCACAGGAGAAACTGCGAGCATCAAACCTTGGGGGTCTGCTCTGTACACTTTGACCCCCTAGGCTCTGCTTACCTTCATGGTAATGGTCCTCAACAGTGATGATTCTGCCTTTGGTTGCTCTTGCATTTTCAAGTATTGTCTTCTTATCCAGGGGCTTTATAGTGAAAGGATCAATCACACGAATGAAGATTTTCTCTACAGAAGTAGAATGATGTTATTTACAACTTAGTCTTGGAGAACGTAACACAACAAAAGCAGTACAGGGAGTCCCTGTGATTTTCTAGAGCGATTATGAAAACCATCAAGGTATCTGCACTAAGGGTATGCCTAACACACAATCTAATCAACTCTAAATCTGTTCATGTAATCCTGTGTACATTCTCTCTTTGGTGCTTTTGTGAGACAGTAACGTCCAACCACTTCACAGAATAAACTGAGACAGAAAAGCCTTGGATGAGTGACTTGAGGTCACCATGAGTGCCTGTTAGCAAAGAAGTAACTCAAGCGGCCTTCCCATGGGCAAGAGCAGAATCCAGCCACCATGAAATCCTCCTTCTTCAGACTGCCAGTCACTTTCATTTTTTTCCTCCCC